CACTATTTAAATATTCAAAATTCTGGTTCTCCGCCGTTACTGCCTGGATCGACCTACTTCCTTCGCTATACGTTATAACATAATTTGCTTAATAAAATCCGTACAGTTTTGCTAAGCTTTACTTCCAAATACACCATTTACTAAAAACCTTTATTTTAAATATATATGCCGCCGTATACATAAATATATGCTTTCAATAATCTTTTTTGCGTTTGTTTTGCTTATTTTCCTTCTTTGTCGTCCAGCGAAAAATTTTTTATTCCAAAAGTGAAGGTGGTCACCCCGTACCAGCTCAAAAGTGAAGGTAGGGGGAGACTTGGCTCCCCCTATCGCACCTCTGTGTATGACTAGCATAATATGTAGTGCACTAATTTCAAGGAATGCTCACATTTGAAACACATGCAAATAAGTATTTTTGAACAACTAAAAAGCAACTAAAGTTCATAGTAAAGCTACGAGCAATGAAAAGTTCAAATTCGGCAAATATACAACACCATATCTCGACAATTAAGTGTTCAAAAACGCTTATTTTTGTTTCTTTTGAATGCTAACACTCCTTGAAATCAATACTCAATATCATAATAGTCATACAATCCCAAGTTGAATTTAGAAGCACATTATTCATTGAAACCCCAACGACTTCACATTTTCGACCGCTCATAACTTTTTGCAGAGAATGACATCGCGGATATGAAAGGTAGATTTGAAGTTAGCTCATCATAACGCATCTAACGATATGCGATTCATTCCAATTTGCCACCTTAAGTTGGGATCGTTCCCTTGTAAGACAAGGTCATATCTGAAGTTTCTGAGTGCTAAAATACACAAACGATTTCATAAAGCGAAATTCTACTCAAAGGCAGCGTGCGAAAACGAAGAAAATGGTGCGAGGAGATTATGGTGCAATGGAGCCTGTCCTTGTAAGGAAGAAAACTCGCTTATGGTATTAGGAGAAAAATTTCTCGAAACACGCATATATTGAAGCAACCACCGTATTAAATCTACGAGCAGCAGAAGGCTACACAAAAAATCAAGCAAAGCTTTCTCCATGTTCAGCGTGTCAGCATTTTTTTTGGATTTTCAAAGTCTCCTATGGAATTCTTCAAGAAAAGTGAATCATACTGCAACAATATGTGCAAAAGCAAAGTATGGACACAACTTGCAGCACTTACTCCAAAAACGGCGACTGTATAGATGAACATATTGTTGTGCTGATAAGACAACAGCTGAAGCAACAACTACAAGCTGAGTTTCAAATCCTCAAGGCACCACTATTTGTGGTTGGATACTGATGCGAAGCAATACGGGGACCCCAACAACAATGCACAAGTTCCGCTGCAAAAATTGAAGTAAACTTGAATGTAGCCTTGAATTTAAGAACGCGACAAAACCGACAAATGATAGGCTGATAAACGAAGTGTTAAAAAGCAATGATAATAAGAATGGCGTGAAAGAACATGAAATGTATAGCTAACGCTTAGCCGGAGCAAAGACACTATTGTAAAACTACTCGCTGAGTCAGTCATCATTTTGTGATTTTTTTTGCGACAATCCCGAAAATCTGTCAAAAAAATGTCTCGCGCATGTCTATACGCGCTTTTCTGCGAATACCGAGGGACGGATCTCCGGCACAAGTCATCAGCTAATGTCTGAGCAGGTAAAGAGAGGGTACAGCCTTTTTTCTCGCAGTAGACGAACATTCCGAATGAGCCAGCTCGTTCGCATCGCCACTTGCTCAGCGAGATAAATTTAAATTAAGAGACGCAGACTAAAAAGCGGCGCGAATAGTTGCAAAGCGGACTTCCGCCAGTTCCCGCAACTTACTAAAGGCAATCGCACCGCCTTCATAGCATTTCAGTACTGCACCACACTCACTCTCAATGCACTCCTGCGGCTGCCTTTGCTAAATCAAAAGAAGAAAGGAAGAATTTTGTTTTTTTGAGCGACACCTCGTCCAAGCCCCCGCACACCACGCAGGGTCTTTGAGGTCGTGCGAAAACAACAGTCGCTTTAGCAAAGGTGATGCAAATGATTGTTGACTGTCAATCTACTCGAATATTTTACACTTCGCGAAGGCTTTTATTCAACGCAACTGGTTGTTTTTATAGCAGGGCTTAACTCACGGTAGGTGTACGGCAAAAAATCAAGATTTTTAGCTTACGGTAGATGTACGATAAGAAATTAAAATTTCTGAGTTTGTCAAAACTTTGCATGGTGTGATTAATTTCCACTTTACCCTGTTTCTTCGTTACGAATAATTATTTACGACCAGTTTATTTGGTGACAATACATGACAGGTCATCAGTCTAGCGTTTACTTCAACACTTTTTGCGGTCCAGACATGCTCCTCATCCTTTTAGGGCTGCATGCACTAACATCCCCGCGGGGGACGGGATCGCCAGCTTAAAAGGAAACTTCATCTCCTGAAGCTCCAGATATGTGAATTTCGCGCTGTCTACTTATCCGTATCTTATCTACTTATTCCATCATTCTTCACTATAAACATACTGAACAGAAGTGAAGACGCTGTACAAGCCGCATATTCCAGCTTTCTGTATGATTCCTTGATGATCCCCGGCGGCCGACCGTCTTATTTGAAGTCATTATTCCTTCTTCAAAGTCAGCGAGAACATTTCGAAGTTGCAACGATTATCTAACCTAACAGTCTAAAAGAACATCAGGGTATCATACAAAAAGCTGGAAAATGTGACTTGTACCGCTTCTTGGCCCTGTTCGATATTTTCATAGTGAAGGATGGCGAAAATACCTGCGGTTAGATTTGATACAGCGTGAAATCCAAATATCTTCAAGATAAGAAGCTTTGTTTCATCTGCGATCCCCTCCCCGCGGGGACATTAATGCATGCGGCCCTTAGACGAATCTGCTCCCTACCCTTAGCTAAGGGCCGCATGCACTAACATCCCCTCGGGGAGGGGATCGCAGCTCAAAAGAAAGCTTTATATTTCGAAACTCCAAATACCTGGATTTCACATTGTGTACCTATCCGTAAGCATTCCTACTACCCTTCACTATGAACATGTTGAACAGGAGCGAGAAGCTGTACAAACCGCATTTTCCAGCTTTGAAGTCATTTTTCTTTCTCCGAAGTTAACGAAAAACCTCCAAAGTTGTGCAAATTATCTAACCCGACAGTGCTAAGCATGTTGCTGATAAGAACAAATGATGTTTTGAAGTCATGCAATTTTCGATGATCCACAGGTCAAAATTTGAGGTTTACCGAAAAATTCGGCTTTTCAAAAACTCATTTGTTCTCATCAGCAACATGCTTAGCACTGTTGTGTTAGATGTTTAGTACAGCTTTGAAAGGTTTTCGTTAACTTCGGAGAAAGAAAAATGACTTTAAAGAAAACCGCAGGAGATCATCAGGGATCATACAAAAGCTGGAAAATGGGGTTTGTACAGCTTCTCGCTCCTGTTCAACATGTTCATAGTAAAGGGTAGTAGGAACACTTACGGATAGGTTCACAACGTAAGATCCAGTATCTGGAGTTTCGAAATATAAAGCTTTCTTTTGCGATCCCCTTCGCGGGGAGGTTAGTGCATGCGGCCCTAAGACTACTCCCCCCTCTGCTCATCTCTAATACGATCTCCCTCCCCATGCCGGGCGTGCCTGACCCCAAGATTGACCCTGATCGTAATCCCCAAGAGTTGCACCTTGAGGGACATCAGAGTCGAGACTCTTACTGTTGTCTGTGCCCATATCGCATACGGTAGGACTCTTGGCTTACAGCGTGGTATAGCCAAAGACTATTCCAACTTGCCAAAAACAATAATTCAAAAAGGTCTCCTGGGTTTTCTCATACTTTGCACCTCATGTTTGGAAAGGTTAAGAAAAGGTCAAGGAATTATCAGGTTGTCCGGAAATCAAGAAAATCTTAACCGCAGTAAGTCATACACTTTTCATTCCTGAATAGCTTTCAAAGTACCATTCCATAGAGCAAAGCAAGCTCTACAAGGCGGCTATCTTGCTTTAGCAACAGCTTTGATGTACCTTGAATTTCGAGCCAAAAACTAAAAAGATTCAACTGCCCGAAAGATCGAGAAAAATCGTAACTTAGTTCATAGCATTCCTATAAAAATTCTAACTTGCTCACTTAAACACAATCCACATAGGGCATCTACACACGCCGTTGCCGTATTTTTTCTCTGTTAGAAATCAAGTAAACGGAAATTTTCGTGCATTTGCCAAAATGTTGCTGTGCCGTTCCCACATAAGCAGTTGTATACTACAAATCTGTAGAAGTACAGACGTAAGAAGAATACCAAACACAGTTTTCGCTGGTCATGTGGTCTAAGCTAAAATTCAAATTTTTCGAGAACTAAAGCTTGTAGAGAGCTGGAAAACTACGTCTGTACTTCTACAGATTTGTAGTATACAACTGCTTATGTGGGAACGGCCAGCAACATTTTGGCAAATGCACGAAAATTTCCGTTTACTTGATTTCTAACAGAGAAAAAATACGGCAACGGCGTGTGTAGATGCCCTATGTGGATTGTGTTTAAGTGAGTAAGTTAGAATTTTTATAGGAATGTTATAAACTGAGTTACGATTTTTCTCGATCTTTCGGGCAGTTGAATCTTTTTAGTTTTTGGCTCGAAATTCAAGGTGCATCAAAGCTGTTGCTAAAGCAAGATAGCCGCCTTGTAGAGCTTGCTTTGCTCTATGGAATGGTACTTTGAGAGCTATTTAGGAATGAAAAGTGTATGACTTACTGCGGTTGAAATTCAAAACGGACATTGATTTCCGGACAACCTAATATAACGAAGTGGAAGTCAAGAATCTGGGTAGACGCTGGTTCTGAAAAGGCAGGAAAATTGTCCTTTCTTCGCTTCCACGGCTGCTACGATATCAAAACAAACACATGCAAATTGAATTTTTAACCAAGATGCGCTGAATAGCGAATGCGAAATTTTATGAATTTATTGAGATACTCACCTCTAATCTCCTCGTTTACGTAGACTCAAACACACAATTCAAGGTGGGCAGCTCCTGCCAATTTTCGGAGCTGTCTGTTGATTGTCTTTGTCTTGGAAGCGGTTGCAACAGCCCAAATAATATCAAGGTCAGCACACATCAATCCTTCTTGCACGAATACACGTAATCCCTTTTCCATGCTTATATATATTCAGAACATTTTTATCAAGCAGATTGGAAGGACCAACTCATTGCCGGAAATACGTAGCATGCTATGCTTTTTGACGAATGGAGATTTATACGGTAATGATAATTTTGCTTTACGAATCAAAAAAATAAGGATTTGGATTTGATTGCTGTGAATTTCAGTCAATACACCAATGTGACAACTCACAAACTGTAGCTATAAAAAAACCAATGTGACAACTCACAAACTGTAGCTATAAAAATTGAAATATGCGCACATGTTGAACGAAGACACAACTGAATTAAATTCGACGCATTTAAGGGAATGATTAGCAATTGAGACCGTTACCCAGACAGCTGCCAAAATATTGGAAATAGTAATGCAAATTTTCAAATTTATGCAATTTTTACCCCTTTACCGTCAATTTTATGTCCCGCCCAGTCTCAGTCAAAAATCACTATTTCTTCTTGTAATCTTTTTTGAAAACACTGCCATAAATCTCTAGCCCGTCTTTTTAGCATTGAACGTTGTTAGGCTGAACTTTTCTTCTTTCACACGAATTTATGCACTTTCGACTGTGAACTGTAGGACCCGCCCGCTTTCAATAACCTTCGCTATTCTGCGTATTCGACTTTGAAATACTAACACACTTTTTATTTGGGCTCCTCTGTTCGGAATCCTACTATTTGGCTCTTACCTGGCCGCCCTAGCATCAAAGTGGGTCAAATTTCTTATTTCAGAAATTATACGCATTTGTGCGAAACTAGGCATTTTTGAAGTTAACTGCAAGCTCCCCCCCCCCCCCCCTCCCCCCACTTTCAATTTATAAACACAGTACGATTGAATTTGAGCTGCCGATCCTAGAAATTCACCATAGCAATTCAACCCTTGTAACCAGCAGTTAATGCAGCTTTTTTTGCTTCACGTTTTCAGAGCAAGAACAAAGTTCAGCAGTCAACACCACAAGTTTGCCAACCAATCAGCAAACAACATAATAACACACTTTATCACAGTGCTTGTATTCCATGTCAAAGTCAATCGACTTCAAAAAAGGTCTTTTACAAATAGAAAGTCGACTTACTGAGTTGTGAAAGTAAGGCTAAACCAATTGTGATTTAAAAAAATTTTACACTGAGGCTTTGGTAATTACATCTGAAATTATGTAATCGAAAAATCCGGGTAATATCTTTGAAACTTTCGTTAAACGAGTGACACTGAAGGTGATCGCATAAGCTGTTCGATCGCAATAGTTCTTTTAAACCACATGCAAAGAAAATTTCAACAATTTTTTCGTCACTTATGGGCACGCATAGACAGTTGGCTTCATGATAAGAAGTGCCTTTTCGCCGGATAGACCTTGAGAATAATGTGATAACTTCTCAGGCCGATTCTGCTTCCACAAGCAGCTGCCACTTTTGCTTAGCTTCGAAAGTTAAATAACACAAAATTTTGCATGTTTACTGATAGACGACGAAGCGCGACCATATCTTAACAGTTTATATTCACGTTTGAAGGAAAGTGGGGATGGTGTTATGGGCCTCTTATCCAGATCGGGTCCAGATTCTGGGCAACTCTGTCACCGCTTCAAGCGTGTATCGCGACCATAGTCACAGAGCAAACCATTCGGCATCTTATCTAGTAAATCCATATATGGGAAGTTGCGTGGGGTTAAACATCATCATTATCCATATAGTGTAGGTGAAGGCTGAGCAGAATATTTTAAGGCAACAGAACGACAACGTCATCTTCTCCTCCTTTGGCTACTATACAAGATGAGCACGAAAGCTCGACTACCACAACTACCTTGGTACGTAAAATGAATACTCTATAACAAAGCAAATTGCAGCAGAATGTCTTCAGGACACAACGACAGAGCTCACAACCACGACAGAGAGGAAATGGATCGTATGTCATATTCAACCACATTATCATAGATAAATCATTGATTTTTGAAACCAAATGACTTAGTAGCAGCTTTTGGCGACATAAAATTATTTGCAACAACAATGCATGTTCCTTATGTAACCGGGGCAGAGCAAAAAATGTACGAAACATATCTTATATATGAAGCTGAATATCTGTCTGTATGTATGTTCTGAATAGAAAATTCCATTTCTCAACCGGTCAAACTTGGCACACTACACTTCGGTTTGGGGCGGGTGTCGTAGGCTACTTTTCGCTATCGACAATATCGGTTTTATCGATTTTTATCGGTTTTTGCAAGTTTTGGCCTACGGGACTGGGAGCTGGCACGGGGCGGTAATCGAGCATGCTGATTAATGACACAGCGTGAATAGGGAATTGGTTTGTAAAAATGGGCACAGGGAAAGATTCTACAGGGATAGGGACTTTTATCATAGGTTTTGACAGTACCGGGCGGAGCCGGGTAAGCCAGCTAGTTATTTAATAAAGCAAAAAAGCTTGCGCAAAATCTAAATTCCATTCAAATTGAGGTGCTTTCGGTCCAGAAGCCCATTTACCCAACTTGCTTAGGAAATATACTCTCCGTATCAACTCATGTACTTACGGTTTTTGCTTGGCCAGAAATCCATAAATGCAATTGCAGCCTTTTATCAGCGTTTGTTCTTGAAATTTGCATATTACCTATTTTTCTTTCTCATTTTAACAAAAAATACATCAATTACACTGGTAAACATCAGATGTGGAGAATATACGCAAGGGCATGAAGTCAGTTGTATGTTTTTATAGAATTCCAATTTTTGATTTGAAAATTTTCTGGGTTTTGTCAAACATAATCAGTCTTTAACCTGTATCAGTCTTTGTGCGGATGCTTCAACGTCGTATTGTAGAGCTTTGCTCTAATAGGTAGTGTTCGTTGCGATTGTTTATCTACTCTGCTGAGGTAGCATAGAAAACATGCAGATTTTTATCAACCTATTTTTCGTTATTGGTGAACTCAAATTGTATGATGTTTAGGTATACACACGTGAGAGAAAACGGACAGAACAACCTGTACAAAAGACAAAAATGGTAGCGTTGAAGAATAATGTGGGCTGCTCGCATATACTGAAGAAGGAGTTGCTAATTATAAGGGCTTACAGTGTAGCGTGGATGCTACAGGTAGTGCTGATAAACCTCGGAGTGAAAAAGCTTTGGCTGATAGCGAGAAACCAACGATTCATGTGGCACAGAAGAATAATGTGTTGGTTTGCTTGAGATTTACTTATACAATTTTTCATAAGCAGTATTCTATTTCAGGACACCAATAGTGTTGTACGTATTGTTTGGACTGCTCCTACTTCTTCTATTTTGTGCGAATGTAGTGTTTTTCACACTAGTGTTTGTTTATATGAAGAAAGAGACAGAAGAAAGAACTAAATCATTGAAGCATGACATAAGAGCGTTAAGCAAATCGGAAGACGCTTAGCACGCTAAATGTTGATATTTTCACGATAGATTATAATCATAATATTAAGCGCAGTCTATCTCTTTCATTCCAAATTGTGCTAACGTAGCTTGTCATTTATAACAAGGTTCGCTTATTTACGCTTACACTCTCTCCTCATTGGGTGTAACTCAAATGACCTGGTAGATGCTTCCACTTGTTTTTACAAAAATTTCTGCTGTAACTTATGCTCTTCTATTTATGACAAGCTTGCCTCCTTTTTAAAGAATCTGCGTTTCATTGAATGAAAATAAAGTTTTCCATATGAATTACGTAAGACCAAGCTTACAAAGCTTTTCGGCTAGCCGTCTTAAAACGTTATCATTTCAAACAAACTATTTTATTGTTTTGTACCTTTCTGTAAGGTTGCTCGTCACAAGCGCTTTGAGTTAAGCATTTGTATTTCGAATACTATTGATATGAGTTCCCTACACGAACTTCTTACCTGGAGTAAAAGAACTTTCCTTTGCCATAAAGCATTACCGCAAAAATCCATAACTTAGAGGCAAGAAGTCGATTTCTAACAAACTCCCTCATCTGGGGTTATCCGCAGTGTTGAATCCGAAGAACCATGTTAAAGAGGGCGAGAACGTCGAGAACATGCTCTCATAAAACCTTACGATTCGAATTCAGACGATTGAAACAGTTTTCGCCAAGGCTGAGACGCCACTATTCCTACGACTTTAACTGTGAATGTGCCTTCTGCGCAAAGCTGGAAATCAAACAGGTGGAGGGGCTGTTTCGCCTAAGTAACCTGATTCTTCGACCGTATGTCATGCTTCTGGTCAAACATTACGGCTCGCAATTGCGCACTAGCGAAGGGTCTACTTTTGCATGGCACTTAAGTTCCAAAACCCCACTTTGCCAGGACACTGCCTTTGAGGCAAACTAAGGGTAGTTTACAAAGGATAAGGGTTCTTTACGTCTTTGTCTTGGGTATGGTCAGATCACTGTCTATCACGAAAATCGTGGAGCGAGTTATGGGATAATTTTTGAGCGAGGTTTTTGAACAGCGCACCCCGCCCTTCACGAGGATCCTACATCATTAAGACAATAACGCGGACGAGCGGCGAGCCTTAACGGCTTTCCGGGCGAGCAGCGGGCTTTGATTTGTGGGCGTGGCTTTCTTGCGGACAAGCGGCGTACCCTCGCTACCGAGCGTGCGAGCGGCGGACCTTGATTTGACCAGCGGCGGCCCATTGCCTCAAGCGGGTGGGCGGCGTACCATTAACACGTTAAACTAACTTGCCATCATTTCTATGTGCGAGTCATTCTCATTTAGTGTTATTGCGGCGTGAGGGCGGACAACTAGCAGTGGCCAGCAACAATAAGAAGGTAAGTGTGCTCAGATAGTTATGATGAGCATCTGCCGGCCACCCACATGCCCATCCCGAGGGCGCGCCTATATGCGCGCGCCACATACCTCTACCAGTTTCTGCGCAATATGAAATTCCACCAGTTATGTTCAGGTATCCGGGACATTTCGGGCCTCAGGTACTTCCAAATGCGAATTCGGTGCCCCCTTTTGTACAATCACTTTTGTTGAACTGAGCCATCTACTCAACAAGGAATTGATTTCTCTGCAAGAAGAAAGTGGAAAAACAAATTCTTTTTCGTTCCCTTAGAAAACGGAAACTTGCGTTTTTTGAAATATTTTTTACACCGCTGGAAAGAGAAAATGATTTCCTATTTCTCTGCTACCAAATACTAGGTCTTTGTTCGAGCAGCAGAAGTTCTGCAATCAATGCGCAATTAAGATTTTACGGCCGCAGAAAAGCGACTCTGCAAGGTTATGTTTGAAATTTTCAGTTCGAAAGATGTTGGCCATGTTCGTGTATGCATTTTGTTGCACAACGGATCCATTTTTCCATCAAACGGATCCACTTGGCTTCTGGCCCGCAAAATTGGATCCGTGTTTCCACTATTTGCAGAGTCTTAGATGAGTTTGGCAAGTAAATGTGCAAGCCATGGACTTGAGCTCAAAAACGCGATCAATAGTCTACTAATTTACATAAACGGCGCCAAAAAGACTGGGTTGCGAAAATGGTCAATTTGCCGAGGTTTGACCCAAGCATTTGACAAGATTTTTGCGCAAAGATGTAGCCCACCGTCTTATGGCGACTATCGAAACAATGAAAAACTCAAAACCTATTCAAATTTGCGTTTGCTCACTTGTATGTTCACTGTTCGTTTGTTCACTGGTATTGTGATAAGCTGCAAAATATTGATCAAAAAATCAAAAATCAAAAGAATTACCCTAACAGCAAACGAGCGGTCTACCTTCTCCAGCAAGCGTAGAGTCGGTACGACTGTTACAGCCTAATTCCCCTTGAACGCTGCAGCACTTGTACACGGATATATCAACTTCTTCACTTCGCTAGTACAACAGTTTGACTATTGCACAGCCTTCGTTGAAAAATAGTGGAAAAACCCTCACACTTTGCACATTTACTGACTTTATTCATGTTTCTTCATTTAGAGTGACAATCCACAAAGCCACTGAAGAGGATTTATACTGCACAAATATTCCAAGTCTGATTCGAAGGTTCACTATATTGAAGGGGTGGGTGACTCGCTTTCACATTAAAAAACCTACAGTTTGTTTTTATATCTAAAAAGATATTCCATACACTTTGGCGTTCACTTATGCATTGATCTTTCTCATTTCTGCTGTCAGATGTTAGCTTCAAATTAGCTGAAAAGATTTCCAAAAGAACTGGGCAAAAAGGCAAAAAAGCAAGGCTGGCTTTTGCTTCATTTTCTGTCGTCTGCACATCGAAATAATGTCAGGAGTCTACCAAAAGTTCGATCTGCATTCCCGCGCTTTCGGGTTTTGTCGGGCTTTTTCCGGATTTTTGAGGTTCGGGCTTTTTGGACCTTTTTCCGCGAAGTATGACGGGCCCCATACACTTCAATTCTAATTCCGAATCCCATAATCAGCATGATTTGAACACTTTTCCGAGCAATACTGCTTTGACCTGCACTGACTCATTTCAAGTTTTATAAAATTGCAGAGAATTCTTGACTTCAAATTTCTGACAACGTCCACCATTCCACCTTATTTTGACCTCAATTTTTGGAGAGCAACTTTGTGACGTTCGCTCATCCTTGTAGCATAATGTTCGAAATTAGACCACGAAGCGTTCGAGCTTACGGAGGTATTTTTAGAGTTAATTGACCTCGACGTATTATCATCACACATTCTTATTGTTAGAAGCAGTAAATGAGTACATGACTCAACGAAGTCATCAAAGGCGAGTGGATGCGGCACATGTTGCCGAATTGCATAGGCGCGAACAGCAAAACAGAGATTTCACTGAAAACTCTAATATGGAAAATCAAGGTATGATACCACTGAAAGATCTGAATTTTACCTTGTCTCAAGAACAACTAGGATTATTATGATGAGCAATCGAGTACTTCACACATTGCGGCTGATGAAGAAGTTACATCAAATCATGCCCGCAATCACAATGAGTCAACTTCCGACCCCAGGACACTCAGAATGTGTATGTACCGATATTTTTTGGTCACAAGTCATGACATCTATCCAGCCGTTTTTGAACGAGCGATATATTATGCCATGTACGTGCTTCACTTCGGAGTTTCTGAGGAAGGAGTGTCTCGCATGGAGGAATTGATGACCGTTATTTATGGATTCCGTCCACCTATAACGGTATCCGAGACACGATCTTCTCATTTGTTTCTTCTTAGTAAGAGATTTCAGTATGAAAAACATGTAAAGGAACTGAACGAAAGCATCATGCATGACTATGATCATCAGAGATATTTCTTTTGTTCTGGTTGTATGGAGTTGATGAGTCCAACACAATATATCTGCACTAATCGCAGCTTTAAAATTTTTGGGTCAGGTTTCCGAATGATCGTGTGCAACAGGAAACTACGCATTAAAGAATGCCGATAAAGAGAACGAAGCGAATGGAAAGATCGGAGGTTCACATAGTCAATATTCTTCCGCAAGTCACCGATATCCTTGTCGATAATTTCCACGAAATAATCGAGATGCACCGATTCCTTCATGAGAGGGTAAATTCAGCAGGTTCTCCATTCTTTTATCACGAGTTATGCCAAGACTGATGTGACGGATCGGAGCGACAGACGGCTTTTTGGTGGATATTATGAAAACATCGAAACTGCGTCGGACTTCAACCGAAGGTACTTGAAAATTCTTCTGTCACTATCTATAGATGGATTCGTTCCAAGAAGGATTTCTAAGTTGGGTCCTATACACTCACGAAATTTCCAGCATTAGATTAGTACGTACAGAAAAGAAATGTGGCCACTCTATCTTCGCGTTGAAGGATTACATCCATCAAAAGCAGATCAATATTTCAACTCCGTGATAGCCGGAATGATGCACACGCGCTTAAAGCCGACACAAAAAATGCTAGAAGTTCTTTTCAGCAGGCAAGATTTTATCGCCAAGTCGAAGCAAGCTTTGTAAACATCAGATATGTCTAGGCTTGAGGCTGAGCTTCGAAATTTGCTTGAGGCCCCACTAGAAATAATGTGTGGAATAATGTGTGGAAATACCTTATGAACTGTGAGCATCCAGCTTTTCCGAGGGATAGCCGATATGGCGCAGTGTTTTTGTTACACATGCTAAGTATGTTTGGTCAAAGTGCAGGCGCAACAAGTTTTATTTGGAACTCCGCGATGGAATTCGGAATACGGATGTTCAAAGTGTTATATACGAGGACAACTGATAGATAGTCATAGAGTGTGGATACCTGCGACCAACGCAGACAACAGAACACGGAGTGAAGGATCTTACTGTGTTGATGCGGGAGCGTCACAATATGGACTAAACAGTAGAGCACTTATCAGTTTGGTTTTTTAATATTCTCCATCGTTTCAGCAAAAACCTTTTTGTTCGACTTGTTACCTCCTTGTCATTTTCTTGGTGACCAACTACACATTTGCTTTGAGGGAATTACAAGAAATAGACTAAGGGGTGAACC